ATAATTTAAATTTATAAAATTTTTATAAATTTTGTTTGTTTTTGTTTGTTTTAACATAAATAATTTTTCATTAGATATTTGGTTGCTTCGAAATCAATAAAACAAGGAGAAATTATTCTTGAAGATGAACCGATTGTTGTTGGTCCCTGTCAAGAATCAAAACCTCTTTGTATCGGTTGTTACACCGATATAGATTTAAACGACTCAAATAAATATTTTAGGTACGAAAGAAAAAAATTTCAAATTTTTACAACATGGGAGTAAAAATATGTTTTTTTTAAACAGGTGTGTCAACTGTACCTGGCCACTTTGTAGCAATCAATGTAAAGGTTTTTTTAATAAATTTGGTCATAGCAAAGAAGAATGCGAAACGTTTTCAAAATCTTTCGTTAAAAATAAAGAAATAAAAACATTTGTAAATTTTTACTACGCTTTAACACCATTCAGATGTTTATTATTGAAAAAAATAAATCCGGAAAAATGGAAAATTATAAAAAATATGGAATCGCACACGAATGAGAGAAAAAAAGATGGAAAACTATGGGAAACAAATGAAAAAATGGCCGTTGATATTATTAAAAATGTCTGGGGATTATCTGATGATGATGATGATAATGATATTCATTTTGTCTGTGGAATACTCGAGGTACATTCAATAAAATTTTAAATTATTATTATTATCGTTATGGGATATAAAAGTCAAAGTACAATTATTTTTATATAACTAATTTTGTTTCCTTGCTTCATTTTTTCTTTTTTTTTTTTTTTACAGGTAAATAGTTTTGAAGTAAATTTTCAAAATGTTCAAAGTTTACGAGCTTTATACTCGAATGCTTTTTTATTTTCTCATAATTGTATACCAAATACGAGTCATTCCAACAATAACGAATTCAAATTAATTTTTCGCACTACGACATTCATACAAAAAAATTCGGCCGTGACGATCAGTTATGCCTACACGTTACAGGTGAGATATTATTAATTTATCATAACATTTTTTAATAAAATATATTTTTAGTAGTATTATTTTTTCAATTTCAGCCGACACTATTACGGAGAAAACATTTGGAAAAGACTAAATTTTTTCAATGTAATTGTCAAAGATGTTCTGATCCTACTGAACTTAATACATTTATAGGTGGTGTAAAATGTCAAATATGTAAAAATGGATTTTACCTTCCAGAAAATTCATTAGACAATAAATCTATGTGGTTTTGTAATTCTATAAAAGGTTGCAAAGCTCAAATTCAAGCCTCAAATATTGAATGTACCATTGAAAGGTAAACAAATTTTTACAAAATTTATAACATGGCTGCATAAAATAAAAACTTTTATTTTTTTTTTTTTTTAATTAGATTTTTTAACGAGTTGGATGGTATTAACGGAAATGATGTTGAAAGTTATGAATATTTTATAATTAAATGTCAAGAAATATTTCATAAAAATCATTATCTATGCTTATCTGCAATGCATTGTTTGAGTCAGTTATATGGAAAAATTAATGGCTACCTAATTAATGATTTAACAGAAGAACAATTATTAAGAAAAATTGACATATGTAAAACTTTACTATCAATATTTGATAAATTAGATCCAGGACATTCAAAACAGAGAGGTATAGTATGTTATAATCAGTAGAAAAATTAATATCAAATTATTTTTTGTCTACTTCCTCCCCTTTTTTTTTTTTTTTTTTTAATTTAATAATTTTATTGATAAAGGTATTCTTTTGTATGAACTTCAAGCTCCATTGATGGTTTTAATTAATAGAAAATATCAAAACCAACAAATTTCACAAAAAGAATTAAAAAATCAAATAAAACAAGTTATTAAATATTTAGAAGAAGCTTTTCTCATACTTTCAAAGGAACCTGAAAATTCAGTTGAAGGAAACATGGCTCAAGCTTCTAAAGAAGCTTTAAAGGCTCTAAGGCTTTAAGTTATTCTATTTAAGGATGTCACAGTTAAAGTAGTTTAGTTTTTTACTAATTAAAATTAGTAATGAGCTATACTAATGTAAACTTTTCCAAATGTCAACCCCCAAATATACATCCAAATAATTAAAACAAAAACTTAATGTTATTATGTAATGAAATTATTAAATAAAACTTACCAAGTCCAATGTTCCATTTTATTCTGTCACAAAACAATGTTAACAAAAAAAAAAAAGCACAATTTGAGTAAACTAACACTTTCAACCATTATTACACTGATTTGTAGAAAACTAATTTTGTATAATTAGATTAGTGAAAAAATGAATTCCAAACAACTTATTGAAAATAATAATTAAATATAATTCAGTAATATTATTATATAAATCAATATAATAATATTTTTAAACAATTGCAGTAGTTTTATTTCATTCAAAAAACTAAAATGGTTTAGGGTTCATTCCATAAAAGAAAAAAAAGTTCCCTAACAAAAAACTTTCATTTCTCCTAAAATAAGAAAGCTTCTACTTAGCTTTTTTACAAACTTTTAAGCATTATTACTAATTTACTGCCTTAAAATTTTTGATATTTTTATTGCTAAAAAAGCTTTAAAGCAAGAATTGACAGTTTTATATACATTTGTAACAGTCTAGAAAATTTTGGAAATGATTTTTAAAAATTACAAAATAAGAATAATTATTCTTACATGTTTTTACTTTTTTTACTGAATATAAACTAAATGCAATTATTTTCAATAAATTTTACGTTGATTACACAAAATATAAAACTAAAAAAAACGATTTTTACTAAAATACCAAGCACTTCACTTATAATTCAAACTTAAATAACGACAAGTTCTAGTACTTTCCATCATAGAGTAAATAAACTCACGAATTTATTTCGATATATCGTTCGACTCATTCCTTAAGTTTAGAAATAATTATGTGCAAGTCGTGATAAATTATCAAAAATTTACTTTTGACAGACATTGATTTTTGTTAAATTAAATAATAAATTATGTAGTTATTTACATAATATTAGTTATTTTCTTTTTGTTTTTATTTTATTTTAATATGCATTCAAAGGAATAATAATAATAATAATAATGAAATTACTTCCAAACCTGCTACTGTTTATTGTTGCAATATTAAATACTTGTTCTACTCTTAATTATGATGAAAAATTAAAAAATTCAGGTTCAGTTGATGATAAGCAACTTGGATACATACCTCATGGACCCTTGGTTAAATGTTCTTTTTTGTAAGTATTTAATTTTTCATGACATTTAATTTAAAATCTTCTTTAACAAAAAAAAAAATTTATTTTTTTATTTACTAGACCTCTAGAATTTATTGATTGTGAAGAACCCATTGATCACAAGGGTAATAAAACTGCAAAAGAAGAAGCTGGAAAAGGTTGTATAAAATTTGGTGGATCTCGATATGAAGATGTTGAAAGAGCAGCTGTCACTTGTGAAGTTTTGCCTGACATAGAATGTTTTGGACCGAGAGTTTTTAAAAAAGAAGGGGTTCCTTGCATAAAGTATATAATTTTTTATATTTATTTTCACCATTTTATGAATAATTATTTAAATTTAAAAACATTTTTTTCAAAGGTACAAGGGTCATTACTTTGCCACCACATTAATATACAGCATTTTATTAGGATTTCTCGGTATGGATCGGTTCAGTTTAGGTCAAACAGGAACAGCTGTTGGTAAACTTCTTACATTAGGTGGAATAGGTATTTGGTGGCTTGTCGATATTGTGCTTTTAGTTACAGGTTTTCTGCAACCTGAGGATTCAAGCAATTGGAATCCATATGTATGAAAAACAAATTGAAATTTAAATGTGAAAAATTATTCAAAAGTGCTTTATACTTAATTCCTAATTTTTTTATGTAAACAAAAAAAGCCTTTTAATGATTCGAGTGAGAAAAATTTAAAAAAAAATGGATATTAAATTAATTAATTAAAAACAAAAAAAAAAACATGTGATTGATTTTATTATTATCGTTAAACATTCTATTGTTAAAAAATTCATATTATATGTGCAGAAACAGTTTTTTTTTTTTTTGAATAAAATGATAAATATTTGACCCATATTTAAATGAATATGATTTTCTATCTGTAATCAAATCATTCTTTATTATGGCATATGTATATATATATATTTTAAATAATCATAAATATTAAATTTTATTTGTGAGATTTAAAAAATTAATTTTTTTCGAAAACTTGCAAAAAATTTTTATTTTTATAAATTTAAAAAAAAATAATAATAATAATTATATATATATATATATATATATATACATATATATTTTGACTAATAAAATACAAATAAATAAATAAATATACAACAAGAGCTGCAGTAAATGATTTAAATTATAGTATTTATTTTGTTGTTTAATTAATTGCCTAAAAATAATAAAAAAATTTCATTCATAAAAAATAAAAGCTCGGTAAAATTTTTAGTAAAATATAAATGAATAGATAAACAGACAAACCTTTATTATTATTATTATTAAATTCATAAATCTTAAAAAATAAAATATTCCAAACCCCTTTTTTTATTTTTTTTTTTATGTTTTTTATTTATTTATTATTAATTTTATGCAAGCCTCTGACTAAAGTGCTAACTTTAAATAAAGTACGACAAACCCAGCACAGATAAAGTGCAGACCAGTTTATATAAATTTTTCCTTGTAAAAAGTAATATTGTTTTTCATATTAATTTATTATTATTATTTTTTATAATGATAATAATAATGACTGCATTAAATCGAAGGTAATCTCATCGAGTGGTTTCGAAAACCGATTGAAAAAATAAATTAAATAATTTTTTAAACAATTAAACAGCCATTCATCATTTATAATCCCACCAATTATAATTTTTTTTTTTTTTTGCAGCTATAATAATAATAATAATTATTATTTTAATAAAAAGGCTTTTAAATTAAAATTTGTTTATGGCTTTTAATATAACAATTTTTAATCCAACAAACTTAATTTACTATTAGTTTTCCTAAGTTGAGCTCTCCACGGTATAATTTGCGTATCGTCTTCCTCTACTTCATCTTCCTCTTTACCCTCTCCTATTGTTTCTTTAACTTCCGGTTTATTATTTTCTTTATCGTTTTCTTCCGGTATATCGGTTAAGGGTAAATTCGAATCGTTTATTTTAATTAGAATTTGTGGAGTTTTTTTATCGTCTACGACTTTTGGAACGTACACGGACGATCTAAAATTTTTTTTTTTTATTATTATTTAATCAATTATTAAAATTCTCACTGCAGCAGCAGAATCTGTCGTGAAATTTTTCTCGGTTTTAAAATCGTAAAATTAAAAATAAGGAAAAAAACTTACTTGGATTCACTTTCTTCTTTCTTCGCTAAAAGTTGTCTTTTCCATGCCGGAATGGATTGTATTCGTTTTTCTTCGGCTTCTTTTTTCATTTGTTCTTCCAAATCTTTCCTTGCTTTTTCAGCTGCTTTTTTAGCCAACATTTGTCTTTTCCACGGCGGAATGGGATTCCCCGTCGAATCTTTTTCCGGTATCTGTCAAATAATAAATAATTTTCATTTTACATAATTTTCAATGAAAAAACAAATGAAAACTAGTAAAACTTACTTTTTCTAATAAATTATTTGCCGTGAATTGTTTTGTGATTTCCGAAACCATTTCTTTTTCTTGTTTTTCTTCCGATTTTAACCTTTCAACTTTCATTTTCTTAACTCCTTCGATATCTTTTGATAATTTAAGTTCGGCAATTAAATCTTGTTTTTGCATTTGAAAAGGTTCGTTTCCTACAAGTAGCAATTTGTTAATTGTAAAAAGTTGTAAACCTTGATGTTAAATATTAAAATATGGCACGTACCTGCGTTGGATGATTTTATCGGCGAAGACATGGTTTTATGAACGACGGTTCTTTTCAATTGAACACTATGTAAATCATGAATACTGATAGCCGATAAAGGTTGCTGCGGTTTTTTTATTTTCGTCGATTCCGTATCGTTTGTATTCGTAGTTTTTCCAGATTCTTTTTCTAAATTATTAGGCATAGGAGGAGGAGGAGGTCCATTTGATGTTGTTGTCGTCTTATTATCCTTTTCTTCTTCTCCTTCTCTTCCTTCTTCTTCTTCTTCTGCTGCTCCTTTATTTAATTTTTGTTCTTCTGATTTTGTCGAATTTTTATCTTGATTAGAATTAGAACTTCCTGTCGAAAATGATACGATACGATTTCCACCGATACTTTTAAGATATTCCGATGGTTTTATCAAACAATTTTCACTGTTAACCGTAAATTTAGGAGGAATAAAAGACGGCAACACCAACTGTCTATTAACTAAACTAGGTACCGTTGAAGAACCGTCACATTCAGCGACTTCTCCAGCATTATTCTTCGAACCTACGAGTGAATAAAAAAAAATTACAATAAAATCATTTTTTTTTTTACTGTAAAATGACTAAATTTATAATTTATTTTAACATTAATTATTCCAGTTTCTAACAAAAAAAAAAAAAAAACAAGTGAAATCTGGCTACTCTCTCGTTTCGCGTGGAAAGTTCCGAGGGAACCAAAGTGTTAAATAATTGAGATTAGTTTTTTTTTTTTTTTTTATCAATTATAATTTTTTTTTTTTTTTTTTTTTAAAAAACTGAATTGCACGCCCTAAAAATTGAAAGAAGGGAAAATTAATATTAAAAACGGGGTCAAAATTTTCAAATTTTATATACCATTCCAATCAATTATTTTTTTTTTTTTTTGGGAAGGGGATAAATAAAAATTTCCCTCAAAAATTTTTTTTATAAATTAAATTAAAATTAAATTAAAATTAAATTAATTTCCATTTATTTTTTATACTCCATTTTGTAAAAAATTTGATGCTTGAAATAGAAAATTAAATTTTATTTAAAAAAAAAATTTAAATCGACTTACAATTTTCACCGTGAATTTTATTATTCCATTCTGCTGATGATTTTCCATTTTGAATTTTTTCTTTAGCATCACCATTGACGACATCGGATGTCGATGATCTTCTCGACAGAGTAGTTGCTTTTTCTAAATCTTCAAAACTTGGTAAGGGAGGAGGAGGTGGTGGAGGACAAGCAGCGGGTTCCGACACGACTCTTTTCAATTGCCTGTTGAAAACGCCACCCAAATGTGGAGCCGGAATTTTAATGTTAATTTTAGCCTTTTCATTTTCTTCTTCCGAATGACCCAAATCGGAAGGCGAAGCGCTCGAAACTCCGGATTCGGTCGAAGGAGTGATCGAAGGTTGGTCTTGAGCCGTGAGTTTAACAACAATGCCACCGCTGTTGGTAGAACTTATGCTACCCGATCGGCTATGACTTCCGGAATCTCTGCTACAACTTCTCACGGAGCTTTTATTGTTGATGTTAACTTCTCTCAAATGATATATATCTTCATAATCGTGTTCTTGTTCTTCGCTCCGTTCGCTCATATCCGATGAACTCAAATTTTCTTCAGAGCCTGCACCCGAGCTGCTGCTGTGCACTTCCGCTTTAACTGACAAAAAAAATGGAAACCATAATTAAAAACTTACACGTTTTACCCTGTTTATACATCAAAACCTATTCTTGTATTACCTATGAGTTCATTTTCAGAAGATGCTTCACTTTTAACGGGTCCTTCGAACAAATCTTTAACCCTGTTGTAAACGATTTCTTGAGGGTTGTGAAGGAAAAATGAATCATTTCGATTATTCCCTCCTCCATTTTGATGACTTTGACAATCGGCACGAGTGGGACCGTGAAGATAAAATGGTGCTCGAGGACTAGAAAGATTGACGCAATCCGAATAAGAACACTGAAAATAACATTTATAATAATCATCATCATTATTCAATATTATTATTATTTTTTTCCCGATGAAATTAAAAGGTAATTAGTAAATGGAATGCAAATCTCAGATAAGTTTACAGTTTTACCATTTTACCTTCCGGTTATTGTGAAGTGACATAGTTGACATGGTCGACCGAAGACCTCGAGTTATTCGAGTTCATGTTATTTCCTAACTGTTATTTTATAAATTTACTCCTCTTAAGCTAAGTACCGATATGAAAAATTTTTAAATAATAATAATAATAATAATATGGAGTGATGGCCGTCGTTAATGTGTAAACATTAAACTCTAACACGTTAATTGCGTAAAGTTCATCATGTTTTTTTTTTTTTTTTTTTTTACTTTTGTGTTTTCCTTACTTTTACTATTGTTTTTATTCGTCTCGTTCGGTTATGTTTACATTTAAAAAAGAAAACAATTACCCAATTTGTTATTATAATTAACTGTAACCTTTTATCTAATGTTTAACGGTTTTTTTTTTTAACCGTCTTTTTTTTTTTTTATCAGGATGTTGCCGTAATACAACACGCTCTCTATTATTACTCATCTTACCTATTTTTTTCTGTTTTGAATATAGTCAACATAAACATTGTTTAATAATTAAAATTATTTCGTAATTAATAATTTATCATTTCGTAACGTTTAAAAAAAAAAAAAAAAATTATTATTATTATTATAATAAAACATACTTTTGAATGATCTCCTTTTCTGCAAGTACATCCGATAATTTTACCATTATCATTATCTTCATGGTAATCTGGTATAGTTCCATGCTGGACAAGTATATTTAAACACTAAAACATAAAAAAAACAAAACAAAAGGATTATTATTACGAAACAATGACTAATTTAAATTTAACAAAAAAAATTGTTGGTCATTAAAAATTATTAAGGATATTGAAATTTAATACAACAACAACACAACAATATCCAAAAGCTAAATGTTTTTTTCTCTCTCTCTCTCTCTCTTTTCCTTTGTTGTATGTATATGTAATAAATAGAGAGAAAAAAAAAACATTAATAATAATAATAAAATTAAACTCTTAGCGAAATTAAAAATCAATAAATCGCGATATATATAGGAAATTGAAAAACGTTAGAAAATGAGAGAGAGAGAGAGAGAAACAATTAATTTTTTTTTAACGCATACAAATAATTACGTAATAAAATAATAATAATAATAATAATAAGGTAATTATAATGAATTTGTTAGGCCGTGTGTAATTTTTTTTTTTTTTTTTTTTTTTTTTTAATATACCAACAACAAATTAAACTTATATTTGATATCGGTCCTATTTCGGTTGTTTACAATATTAAATTATAAAAATCACGTGATAACATATCACGTGACACACACAATGTTTACAACAACCTTTTTCCTTTCTTTAATTATTTAGTAAAAAAAATCAAAAGAGAATAAATAAATTGATTATTGATTTTAATTTTTTATTAAGCCTAAATTGCAAAGAATCGAATATATTATTTTATTTAATAATAATAATAATAATGAATATTCATTCAAGGTTTTTAAACGATTATAATAGAGATATACATATATTTTTTTTTTAAAATCCATTATGATCTCCATAGTTAAAAATTAAATCAATTAAATTTTTTTCAAATAAAACACTTTGATTGAAGTATAAAAAAAAAAGAGATTGAATTATTAATTAGACCACTTTCTCAATTTAATATTAAAAAAAAAAAAAAAAAAAAAGAAAAAACATATGAGATAAAAAGTAATTTAATGAATTTAAAAGCTAAGAGTTTTTATTTATTAAAAAGAGAGGAAACTGACCACCCGATTAGCGCATAAGTGAACACGGCATAAAAATCTTCGAGGCGAAGCCAAATAGAAAGCGAAATAATAATAATAATAATAATAAAAATCTGGCTCCTACCTATACTCCATTGATTGATGATTTAAAAAAAAAAAAAAAAAAGTCGTTTTCACTTCTGATTTAGTTTAACTTTTACTTCGTGATACAAACTAACGACGTATCATTTTATTTTTAAAAAGGGAATTTAAACAAAGAAAGAAAGAAAAAAAAAGAAATAAAAAATAATAATAATTCTAACCTCCATTTGCTGATTTTCAGCTGCATCATTTATTGGACTTTTACCATATTTATCGAGTGTCAGTCTTCCACCGTGTCTTAAAAGCCATCTAACTGTATCAACGTGTCCTCTGCTTGCTGCAAAATGCAATGGTGTAGCACCGTCTACATCTCGGAGATTCGGATCTACACCTTGATCTTGAACCTGCGAAAAAAAAAAAATCGTCATTTCTTTAAAAAACATTTGTTTAAAATAATAAATAAATAAATAAATAAATAAACGATATTAAATCCGATGACATTTAAAAAATAAAAAAAAAATTTTTTTTTTTTTTTTCCGAAACGACCCCGATTAACATTTAACGTTATTGAAACTTTATTATTATTATTATTATTATTTTGTTTAAACAATTTGTTCAGATCAAAAGAGTTCGAAGACAAAAAAAAAAAAAAAATCCATCTTAATCAAAAGTTTTTTTTTTTTTTTTAAACTCAAAACGAGTTTAACGGTTTTAAATTGTAGAAATTTACTTTTTTCAAATTAAATTTTAATTTCCTTTCGTTACAAACAATAATAATAATAATTTTTTTATTTCCTTCCTTGATACAAGAGCGTATGTGTGTTGGTTTGATTGAAACCTCATTCTCACCTCGGTTACAATTTGATTTAATATCACGCACAAATTACACTGACACTCATTATTATTATCATTTGGGATTTTATATATTTCAGCATCCAACGAATCCATTTCGGATAAATCAGAATCCGTATTTTGAAATTTAAACTTTCTCATTTTTTTCTTTTTTTTTTTAAATAATAAAAAAACTCATTTCACACGTTTAACTTACGATAAAATTAATAAAAAAAAAAAAACCCGCGTATTGTTTGTTAAAAACTCTCCACGCCGCACAACATACAAACAACAAATTTCAATTTTTTTTTTTTTTTTGTTTAAACAAAATTGTTACACACGACCGAAGAAATAACAATTTAAATTAATACAATAAATAAAAAATAAATAAATTTATTTATTTTATTAATTATTTTTTTAAAAAAAAACTAATTAGTCCGTTATGATTTAGGGCAGAAAAAAATGAAAACTAATTTTTTTCTTCCTTTTTTTATTTATGTGATAACGTATAAATTGATTAAATATCATTCCGTACTTGGATATAAAACTAATTTTAGTAAAAAAAATTACTAGTTTTTTTTTTCACAAATCCTTAGGAAAAATTTTACCGTACATATACTAAAGTTGACAATAGGAAAGAAAAAAAAAATGGCCTATCGTATGGTGAGGTCGTTAAAATCAAAAGTAAATGCCTGTCATGCCTAGAAAAGGTATTTTTAAAAAAAAAAGTAGAACAAAAGCTACGGAAGCATTTTATTATATAGAAATATAAATTTAAAAAAAAAAAAAAATGAGGTTAGATTAAAGGAGGAAAAGGAAGAAAAAATTATTATTATTATTATTATTTACCACCGCGCGAATCGATTAAATTATTATTTAAAACCGTATGCGTTAAGTAATCATTATTAAATTTTTTCATCGAGTATTTAAAATTTATGTACATAAAAAAAATAAATAAATAAATAAATGTTTTATTAATTACCATCCATTTGAGGCAAGTTAAACATCCCATTTGAGCAGCTGCATGTACTGGAGCCATACCATCTTTGGCTCTTACGTATAGTGATCCTCCAGCTTCCAAAACTAAATATTTTAATACTTCGAGATGTCCTTCTTGTGCGGCCAGATAAACTGGAGTCACATCGTTATCCATTTGTGTATTTGCACTGAAAAAATTAAAAATTTTAAAATATATGATAACGATAAGAAAAAATATTACGGAAACAATGGTGATGGAGGAGGATATTATTAACATTTTGTAACTTTTTTTTTTTCCTTTCGTGATTTTTAAATTTATTATTATTATTATTACTCTATTATTATTACGGTAATTTTATTTTCAACCGTGAATAATTTACATGAAAAGAATTTTTTAAGAAAAAGTCACGTGTTATTATTTTTTTTTTTTTTATTCCACTTTTTATCACAATTTTATGAAATTATTAATGAACAAAAAAAAAGACAATGACGGTTGTTTCCTTGAAAAAAATTATTTAACGGGACATTTATTTAATGTGGTAGGTACTCTCATTACTTTTTTGTACCTTATTTTATTCTAGAACATATTTCTAACGTAAAAAAAAAAATGATTAAGGTACTACTTGATTCGATTATATAAAATACGAAGGGAAAAAAATT